GCGCAACCTTTAATTTGCATAATGGAAATAGATTTTTTACCCATTCATTCATTCATTCATTCATAGAACATAATGAGAAAGATATGGTTAGCTGTCTTCACTACCTGCTTCCATGTCTGATGTTAACTTTATTTGGTCACTTTATCAACTATTTGCACCTCCTTCTAGTAGGGGGGTTTGATATGTCAAGTTTAAGAAGTCGCCATAATTCTGTGGATATGGAGAAAACATTTAATTGGCGATTTCATCAGCACCAATCCAAATATTGATTGGCAGGGAAAGTGAAAATGGATTGCAACGAGAACGAGAATGCATTTCATAAATTTAAATTGATGCGATCACAAGGATGAAATATCGACCATAAATAATTTTCCGATCAAAGTTCAAGTAACTATTTTTAAAAGACTTGTTGCTACCGAATAAAGTCAACTTTAAAGCCTGATATTCTTGCGTGCACTCACGTTTAAATTAACTTCCAAATATGACAAAATAATATTTTTGCAATTATCTTTCTTCACTGTACTCAGCTAAAACCTCTAAAATTAAATTTATCTGGCCTGGATTTTTGAAAGTAAATGTTCAATTAGCAACGCTACAGCCAACTTTAATATGTAATCCCCACTGTGGAGACTAAAGCCAACTAGAGAACTAATGATAACTATCAAAACGCCTGTCATTTGATATAAATATATATACCTATATATGATTTTGTATTGTAAAAAATGTTCGTTTAAGAAAATACGTTTTAATTGTCTGTTTAAAAAAATTATTCGTTTCTTTGGTAGTTCAATTAGATCAAAACCTCGCATATGAAACTCCTCGTTTACGCTCCATTTTAAAGTCGCATCAAAATTGAGTTTTTAAAATTCAAAAGTTTGACTTCAAAAAACTTATTGTGCTTTCCATCGTCGTTTCATGAATCATCTTAAATTGGCCTCAAGGAGCAATAGAAAATTCAAATTTACTACAAATTTAATCATTAGAATATGGCATACTGCTTAAAATTTTTAATAGCACATTTCTTGCAATACTTTTTTCAATGTTAATAGAGCGCATCTTAACAAATAATTTCAAACATGTAGTGTTAGGAATGCCTATCAGTAGTTTATTTTATAATCATAAACAAAATCAACATGCTTATTTAAATGAAAAATGAAACGTTGAAATTGCGAGATTCTTTGCAAAATAACATTTACATAACCTCTATATGATTCGTTTCAATACCTCTTATTTGCTTTTCTAGCATCTCTGTAATTTTGATATAAATCTTATACCAATTGTATAAGACTTACGTTCCTCAGTTACCTGTTTACATTTCAAGCAGTTCCTCATATTTGCATTTATACTTTCACGTCATGTGGAAATCACAATTTATCGGCATATTTTTCTACGTTTTCTGCATTGGCAACTTTATTTGTGTGGCTGTAATTATAAGGATTGAAGTTGGCAAGCAATGAATAGATTCACGTCATCTTCCCCAGACGCTCCCACATGGAGAAATGTGGCTCAAACTAAAACTTCGAAGGCCATCAATCAATGGCATCAAAATGGTTTCATGTCGAATTACGCCATGTGAATCGTACATATAAGGAATGAACAGTTTACGACGCATCAACAAATTGACAATCCCTTTGACTTCAAATAGCATTTGCCTCTAATTGATAGATAGAAATTATTGGTGTAACCAAATCGTACAAGCGCATTAAAAACCGAGCAGTTCCTTATCGATTAATAATTAATGCACGCTTGAGAAACAGATTAACTTAATGAAAGTCTCATTTAAAAATGATAAACGTGAAATTCTAAACGATAATTAGTCCGTCCACAATTTCTACCCCAAATGATTTATTAATTTTACCGGCGAAGTATTTGTGCATGTAAATTTCTGATGTTCAAATCTAGACAATTTAACATTTCGATTCTTCTATCTTCTTAAGGAAGAACTTTGACTCATTCACATACTTCTCAAATGTGAAAAAGTTATCAATGTTAGATATATCAATGACTAAATATTTCTTCCTTGAAAAGTAATTTCAAGTTATGATGCTTTTCTCCGAAATAATGTGAAGAAGTATTCATAATACAATGGAAAAAAATGAATAAATAACAAAATATTCAATCCTCTCTAATGCTTTTAAGCCAGAATAGTTAACAAAAGTAAAAAGAACACAAACTTATCAATAGGCAAATGTAATTTGGGTTGAAAATTTGACAAGTGACAACGCTTACCAATTATGCACCTCGAGTTATTTAGATAAATCCTTAAGAATTTTAATGACCTCTTTTCCTCGTCAATTATACGTAGAGAATTGGAATTAACCTTGTCAGGATTGCCATCAGAAGTTTTAAAGACTAGTGGTTCGATACGCTGTAATGATAATAAATATGGAAATTTAAGTTTAAATCAACAGGGAAAATTTATAATAATAATCAAATAGCTGAAATCAAAACCGAAATTAATTGTTTTGAAGCTCCAAATGCGCTCGCTGTCCCTTGATACAATTAATGTCAACTACACTGCAGATCAATTTCTCGAAATCTTCACTGATGGGCTATACAATGAAAACCAAGCCAAACTTTGTGGAGATGTTTTTCTCAACACTTCTCTTGCAACGCAGCTGCAAGACACAATAGATCTGCCTTCGAAAGGTAAAAGGAGGCCATGCAAAAACTAAATCAATGATGTTGTCTGAATACGAAATTCACCAAAGAGGTAATACTTTCGGATTCACAGTCAGCAATAATGTAAATGGAAGCAATGAGCCACCCAAAACAGCTGAGAAATACGAATGTAAAATCATATCAGTTGCTGAGAGTAAAATATAAAACACCTGTCGTGGGATGGATACCTGATCACTGTGGCATTAAAAGCAATGAGCTTGCTGACGCGCTTGCTAAGAAGGGGACAACAATTATGCAAGGCATAGATTGACTGATGACTTTCCACACAATAAAGACCTTAATCAGGTGAGAATTCCAGACCTTAATGTGCAACGAACTTAAAGCTTGAACAAAGGAGAAAGAGTAGCTAGTGGCACTCTCTGGTATAACCAACTGGCTAAGAATTGAAGACGTTGCTGAGGTTAGACACGATTGCTTGTCACAGCACCTTCATAGATTAGGAGAAAACACTCAATTAGCATGTACCTCTATGTAACCTTACAAGAGGGAAATTTAGAAGACCAATCAGATTCGATGTCCAGGTATAAAGAAAATGACGAAAAACAGAGATACTGGGAAAACAGAAGTCAGCTAATGAACGGCAATATATGTAACTTCTTACCCATGGGAAAGCTGAAATCAACTAAGGGGCTAATGATAAATATCATAAAGCCTGAAATTTAAAATAATAATAATATTTGTCGTTTCATTATTATGCTTTGAAATTTGTTGCGTTGTTACAAAACCAGACCCAAAAACAAAGTGAATTTTGAAGCATATAAAAAATGCACTCCATTTAAGTATAAATGAAAATCAAATAATAAAAAATATACCCAATCCTCTCTTTTTTGATTCAAGTAGCTAAATTTTGAAACGATGCTTGGTTGTTGAAAAATCGATTAAACTATTAAAATAAGTTTACTTTTTTATTAATCTTGACTAGCTCAAATAGCACATTATACTTCAAGTCATGATTTTAGGATCGGGGTGCGCGATAGTCCTGCCTCCACGTGGTGCACCCTGGACAACGTATTTTCTTACGGCAAAAGTCTATCACTCGGCATTCGTTTTTGACTTCGATTAATTATGATAAGCTTAAATAAAGGCTGTAAGAAAAATCGCCCTTGTCAGGGCGAAACACAACGTCTTCAGATCCTCCAGTGGAATGCTGGAGAAATGTCTCCGGACAAAAAGATCCAAGTACAGAAAATCCTACAAACCCATGATGTAGACATTTTCACTTTTATAGAAGCTAACATTTCGGATGACAAACTGAAGTACTACCAATTCCCAGGTTACACCCTGTACAATCTACCTAAATACCGGCAAGTTGCAAGTGGAATTCTAACTGGAGTAAAAGAAGACCTCACCTCACACTACGACCTAATCAAGAGTTTGGGCTCTACAAAAGACAAATGTGAAATAATCAGATTAAATGTTTGGAAATGTCAAAACCACTTCAAGGTTTATGCAGTCTACAATCCACCCCAGAATTATCCCAACTTTGACTTTCTGAACATCTCACACAAAACTATAGTATAAGAAGACTTCAACGCCCACTCCACCAGATGGGGCTACAAGGATACAAACATGGCTGGAAAGGAAAGTGAAGGCATGCTAAACAGCAGAACTCTGGAACTTCTTTACAGCAATGAGGATCCGGCTACATATTTGCACTACAATGGAACCAAAACAACTCCTGACTTACTCTTGGCTTCAAACGACATCAGTGAACATATACGCTGCAAAATAATTGACGATCCTGGTTCTGGTCACAAACAAATCATTGCTAGTATCAACATCGGCAACAAAAGCATAACATGGAAAGTGCCAACTAAGCTATCATGAAACTTCAAGAAGGCTGACTGGTCTAGATTCACTAAAGTTTTTGACAATGATTTTAACACAAGTTAACACGAATATTATGATCAGATGTGCAAAGAAAACTATTTCCCGAGGCAAGACTAAACACTATCGAGTGTTTTGATCTAAACACCTTGAGGAACTGAAATGCAACACTGCTGATCAGACTGGAAGAACGCAAGACGTACAAGCCTGGAGACGACAATCAGCTGTCCTAAGGCTAGCCATCTTACAAGCTAAACGAACTTCCTTCGACAACTTCATCTCAAATATCAACTATCAAAGTGATAGCCAACGCACTTTCAAATTTCTGAGAAACCTCCAAAACAACAGAGAAAGACCCAAGAAAGAACCAATACGCTTAAACAGCAAATTGCTTACCACCGACACCGAAATAGCTAACGGCTTTACGAGGTTCTATTCCCACATGCAAAAGAAAAGCCCTTTTGTCAGAAAATCCTCAAGAGATTTAAAGATACAAGTACGACAGATGGTGAAATTAAGGAAGACGTAGCAACACCAAATAATGTACTTACTGAACCACTCCGACCTTGCGAACTTAATGCTGCGATAAAACAGCTCAAGTGCAAGTGCAAGTCTAATTAGAATGGGATCAAAAGCCAAGGAAACCATGCTGACGCTTTACAACAAAANCAATGCATGGACCGGCCGATGTCTTTTCACACAATGAAGACCTTAATCAGGAGAGAATTCAAGACCTCAAAGTTCAACGAACTCAAAGCTCGAACAAATGAGAAACAGTGGACAGTGGCACTCTCCAACATACCCGACTGGTCAAGAATCGAAGCCGTTGCTGTGTTCAGACTACGTACCGGACACGATTGCTTGGCAAAACACCTTCACAGGTTGGGAGTATACACTCAACCCACATGCCCTCTATGTAACCTACAGGAGGAAATGGAGAAAACCCAGCCCTAAAGACAAGGTCGGAAACCCAAAAATACTGGGAAGCAAGAAGACAGCTAATGAACTGCTATTAATCAATTGCTAAAAATGTACCCCCCCCCCCCTCTTGGGGGAAGCTGAAGTCAAAGATTAAGGGCTAATGATAAATGTCATAAAGCCTGACACTAGAAATAAATAAATAAATGATTTTAGGAGCCTGATTTTTGGTGACATTGGTGTTTTGTCATTCTGCATTGAGTCTCAGGAGGGCAGCCTTGAAATTAATCGGCTGCTGAATAGTCACCCAATAAAGTGTTGTCTCTCAAAGGCATTTTGTGGGTTTGAGATGGTTTCGCTTGAAGCTGTTTATTTATGATTTGCTTTTCAATGACTACATGAGATGGGTTTCAATGGTGTCACACAATTCCAACTTCTTATTTCATAGGCCTTTTCTCGAATAATCAATTATTCCATTTGACACGAGTCAATAAAAGCAAGCTTGAGATGAATCCTTTGCGCTTAGTGTGTGAAAGTGTTTAAAATAAGTCGGAACATTTAATTAAATTAAGATGACTTCGGCCAATCTCCCTGCTTATCATAACATGAGACAATTTATTTAATTATATCAAATGGCAATCGTTTTGTTGGTTATCATTAACCATTAAGTTGGCGTTAGGCTTCACTTAGGGGAGAGACCATCAAAGTGAGAAAAATTCGATATGGGAGCAGAAACGATATTCAAAGATGTAAAAGAGACAGACTAAAGGGTAGAAAAAAGTTGAGGTGAGTTATGTGGAATATGAAATGCAGTGGGTGATGGTAATTTGAAGTCAAAAGTCAACTCCTGGTTTATAGACTTTTCTGTCGTATGAGTATACGTTGCTCAAGGTGCCCCACGTGAAGTTGAGTCTACCTAAATATTTGCCAACGTTTGTTTTATTTCTAAAGTTCTCAACGCACGAAGAATAGTAACTTTGTATGATGGATAAACACGATTACATCATTACACTTAGTTGAGTAAAGGATGCGTTAGAAGGTAGCACCACTGGGTTATGAGGAGTGAGACTGATAAAGTCGAATCTGGTGTGAGCTTCGGTAATGATGAGATTGTATTTGTGCGATTGATACACTTACCATAACACGATGATAGCCAGTTTCTATTGATAATTGTAAAAATTGTAGCAACAGACTTGAATTGAAATTGATCCAGGACAATGCTGCCATCAAACAATTGCATTATTGTGTCTGCCTTAAGTGTCAACTTTAGATGAGTGAACCCCTTATTAAGGGCATTCATCTTGTGGTGTCAAAATGTCCAAATAAAGAGAATGAAGCTTTTACTCAAGGTATACCTATAACCGGATTGCATATTATAACTGAACTTTCGAGTAAAATTTTAGCTCACATTGAGTTTTTGAATTGCACTACAGTTTGTACATTGAAAAACCCAGTTACTTAATTTGGAGCTCGGTTTAGAGATTTGATGATAATCGTGTAAACAGTTGTAGATATCACACCCTTTCTTGCCATCAGTTTGCGAAATCATTGAGCAAAGTCCACAAATGTGTCAAAATCATGGAAAAAGTTGTAGGTTCATTAATCTAATGTTAAAATAAATTAAATATTGCATTTATATTTTTAGAATATTTTCCTTCTTATCGACTAAGCCCTTGGAGATCCAAATACATTTCAACATTAGGATTATAATTATAAGCATTTTCTGTTAATTGAGCTTGAATTTCAAATTCGCTTACAATTTCAGAGTATCGAACCTCAAGTCTTGGAAACTTCTGATGACATTCCTAACAATGTAAATTCCGATTCTCTACGTATAATTGAAAAGGAAGAAGAGGAATGCAAATGAGCTCCAGACTGAAGAAAAAAAATTGAGGGCTTTTGCACAGCCCCCCACTAGTGAATTAAATTCCAATAATCATGCAATGCCCAATCCAGATGAAATTCCTAACCTTTAACCTACTTGGATCTGACTTAATTTGATCCCTTCTTAACACTAATCTAAAGATCTTATTTGTGCGCGGAGGATTATTTTCAAGCTCGAACTGGATGAGTCGTGTCAAATGGAATAATTGGTTATTCAAGAAAATGCTTTTGAAATAAGAAGTTGGAATTCCCTCCCACCATTGTAACCCATGTCATATGAAAATCACATACAAACAGCTTCAAGCGAAACCACCTTAAACCCTCATAATGCCTTTGAGTGTCAATATTTTATTAGGTTTTATATTTGAAGCATTTCAATCTGTAAAGTGCGATTAGTTGTGAAATTTACTTGACCAAGTCAAATTTTACTTAAAAGAGTAAGTTCTATCGATGCACAGTTCTAATCATTTATTTATTTTTATCAAGTGACAGGTATTTTGCCAGTTATCATTAGCCCTTTATTTCACTTCAGGCTTCATAGGGAAAAAGAAACAACAAAGGGAAAAAGTCGAAAGTATGGTGGGGGGGGGGGAACAGAAGAGAATTTTAACGACGAAGGTAGGAAAGGTGGAAATAAATGTGAGATAAGTAATGTGGACGTAGGCGGATATGACGTACTTAGGGCAATAGTAGTTAGAAGACAGCGGTCAACTGCCTGTTATCAGACTTTTTAGTCGTATGAGTGTATATGTTGCCCTAAGGACACTACGTGAGGGTTCAATTAGAATAATCTAAAGAATGTTTCCAAATAAGTTATCAGATAAACAGATTTGAATTTTTTACGTATTTGACTGAAACAAATTGAAAAATAAATATATGTTTTAATGTTAAAAGCACAATCTTGAAGTGTTATTAGCAATGAAGTCTCATTATCATAATTTATAATATAGAGACTAACCTTAATTTAGCCGATCAATATGCTCGTTGGTGTGGTAATAAACATGTATTGCAAAGAGAAAGGTAACCTTCAATTATGAAAACAGGTAGTATTTGATACTCTTTCCACTGCTTACCACAGACACCGAAATAGCTAACGACTTTTCGAAGTTCTATTCCCATAAGCATAAGAACAAGCCTTTTGTCAGAAATTCTTCAAGGGATATAATGATACAAGTAAGACAGTTTGGTAAAACTAAGTAAGACACAACATTACCAAATAATGTACCCGATTTGCAAACTAAATGCTGACCCTCTCTTCATGCAGGGATCATATTTGGCAGCTGTACAGATCAAATGGAGTGCGACTAATATCCACCCATTTTTATTCCCTATGGACGGCCTGCAAGGTGTCAGCAACATTTTCATGAGGGACAACGAATAATGATTTTGTACGAAAAATGGTATCTCAGAAGTGAATTAAAGGAATTACTCGTGGTGCTGATTTCTTGGTATCTCACTTTCCATTTTTCCACCTTTCACATCAATTGGCCCAACATCCACATATGCATGTACGGTCTACCAGTAAACACTCGAACGTGTATTGCAAATGAAATGCAAAGAGGCGTGTTACTTACCTTTTTGCTCTTATCACTCTTGTTCGATACCATCTGGGGTCTTCAATTGTTAGCTGCAAAAGCGTATATCACAGATCATCAACAACGTAAGATAAATTGAAGTAGAGAAGAAGGAAAAGACAGACATTCGTGGATTATTCGGAAGGCTTCTGCCCCACATTGGTTCCATTAATTTTCTTCATATTCTTCTTCTCATTATCATTGTTCTTGTTGTTATAGTTAACACGAATAAGGTTAACTACTCACCTGACTTCGTATGGGCAAACTCATGTGTTCTCTTCACTGTGTAGAAGTAGATGGAAAGTGAGGTCACGATTTACGGTAATAGATATCCGATTCTTAGATTGGAAATGGCAAGTGCAGAACAATTTAAAAGTCAGGTTTGACGTTCTGTTGGTTGTTGTGGGTTTGGAGTTGTTTGGTTTGAAAGTCAATTATGTCGATTGTGATATTGATGCCAAGAAGACCAATCACTTCAATATCTGCATGAATTAGTGCTCTACTAAAATGGCTCAATTATTTAACAATGAGAGTGTCCGGACATTTCCATACACACATTTGTTCAACAATATCAAATGGACCTTCGACGAGATTAGTAAAATTGATGCATGTGCAAAATTTCTACCATTGAATTTACTGTGAACTCTACAGTTGCAACAAATTCACAAGCACTTCATTCAGATTAGAACCGAGGTCCCATTTTGCAACCGTCACCGTGCTTGTTTGGAGTATCAAGTGTGTCAATGACCACCTTTTCATTCAATTTTGGCTCATATTAACTACTCATTCAATTCTGGCAATTTGGGAATAAAAAGAGCCACCTCATGAAGCATTGCTCAAGCAACATTGAATCAATTGATTGCATCTTACGTCATTCACTCTGTTGCATTCATTGTCAGTCTTGAAGTTAAGTGATTGGACGAGAGGAACTTGATTCGAGCAGCATTCACCCTGGTCAGTTTTATTTACTCCATGAGCTCATTTTTCATTGTCCTCTTAAGTAAACGAAGAAAATTAATTAAAGAAGAACATAAATAGTGGAAAGCATTTGTGCCCATTCTCTGCAATTTGGATGGGTAAATTTATTTCTTCGGTCACTGCTTAAATCGATATGAAAGCAGATTCGCTTTCTAAGTCAGAGGCCACACCCCTATTGACTTGACCAGCGTTAGAACTGTTTAGTTTTGTTCGAGTGGAGCAATGATGCAAATCCGCTTTGTTTACGAAGATCATCATTTCATCAAATTGTAGGTCATTTCATCCAGAATATTATGCACACTTACATTTTGCGAGCAATCAACAAATTGCACTTATTTTTTCTCAAATATATATTAGGATGATGTAGTAGGTGAAACATCACCAATAGATTTCAACTCTTAATGTCTAAAGTAGGGGAATGGACTTGGAGAGCCAAAACGGTCATAAGTTGCTTTAAGCTCTGAAGGACTAAATGGCCAATGCGATGGTTCCAAAGTTATAGAGAATTCTTAACACCGCAATGGGTATAGCACACGCACATTGTGCGAATTATTTCATGTAAACATTATCAAGAAACACATTCTTTGTTATGATTGCATC